AAAGTTATGATAAAAATTAAATAACCCTCAAATACCACTGTACTTATATTTATGTACTTTAATAAAATCTAAGACTTTATTTTAAGAGGTTTTTAAATATAAATATAAAGAAGTCTGCTGTTCATAAACTATATAAATGTCTAATTACTATGTTGTACACCTGAAACCAATATGATATTATATGTCAACTGTAATTAAAAAATAAATTTTAAAAACGTTTTAGGAAAAAAATATGAAAAAAAAGTCTGCCGTTATTATTTACTCCATTGGTTCATCTTTAATGTAACAACTGTAGTAAAAGTAAAATGCCTAGAAAAAATAATGTTTCTTGTTAAATAAGGTTTAAAAACGTATTTATGGAAGTTTATACAAATTGAACATTATTCCAGTGCATGTGAATAAGTAGAATAAAAGAAAACCTAGTGCTGAAATTAAGACATAAAAATGATTGCTTTAAGAGATGATGTATCAACCAAAAATCTTTACATATCAAAGATAACATTTATGTATGCGAGCATGTAATCTGATAAAAAACTATCATAAATATTTTCATTTTTAAGGTGAACGACTCATTTGTTCTATAAAAGGCAGAATGAATGTATACCTAAGAATATAAAAAAGGGTGTTTATCTATATTCTTAAGAAGCTTAGACAAATGCCAAAAATGATGCTGAAACATAAAGAGAACACTACACAATTACATAAAAGACATTAAAAATAACTAGAACTCACAAAACACATTAGTTCTAAATTGTATGGCTTTAAACCATTTGATTTTGAACAGCTATAAAATTTCCATGAAAATAATAGACTTTATTGTTCATTTACTTCAAGGTTAGGCAGGCTGACAGGAGAGATGAATAGTCAGTTGTTAACTACTAAATCTTCCTACTTCATCCTAAAAGCAAAGGGGATTTGACCTAAAGTGTCAGTCAATATCATATAACAATAAAAATGCTCAGAAAATTGTTATGTATGTGTTACTAATATTCACTGGAAAATTATCCTTTAAGCAGTATAGACAATCAAGACTTAAGACATTTACATTTAAATATCATATCATGTTAAATTTCCAAAATCATAAAATAATGTATGTTAGTGTACAACCTTAAACTAAAAATGCTATCAAATTTCTTCTTTGGTGGGTGTATGTGAGTGTGTTGTGAGGTAGAGTGCAAAGAAAAGATGTTTTTCCATTAAAGGTTCTAACAAACTTGAGAAGGCCATCTAAAAACACTATCAGTCTATAGCACACATGCTATTAAAATTAAATGCAAAAAGAGTGTTCTTAGCATCTTGTTACTTTTTAAAATCCAATTTTCTCTAATATTTTAATCGGGCCACAAATTTAGAATTTCATTAAGAAAGAAATCGTTATATATATACTGAAAATGGGCTTAACTGTTCAGAGTAATCATCCATCTTATTTTTTAGCTATGCATTCAAGTTTCAAGCATCAGAGAAAAAGATATTTCATATATTTGAAAGTTTGTACTTAGCAATACAAAATTGGATACTTCATTCTTTACTCTATCTAAAAAAGCCATACCTCTTCCTCTGTCTCTCCTAGGCATTCTTTTTATTTTTAGTATTTTCACTAATTCTTCTGACTATATAAAGGAGAAACAAAGTTCCAACTAGGCACTCATACTTTTTAATACCTTTTTTATGAATTATTCCCAAGTAACCATTGAATAAGCTACTCAACAGTAGCCTTAGAAACTAGTCTTGCATAATAACTAGCTCCAGACAGTTGGTAAGGAGCTGGCACCACCTCAAAGAGCAAAATAGTTGGAGTAAACATGGGTGGATAGTTAGGACTGGCAAATAATAAAAACATACTAAAAGCACTAGGCAACATAATCTTATCTCAGGCTCACGTTGGAGTAAGCATTCTGGGAAATTTCTAAAAAAATGTAGATGCTTAACCAAACAACTATAAGCTTACTCTGAAAGCACAAAGAAAAAAACTTTTTGCGATATGTGACTTATTTATCATGGAAATCTGTGAGTCCTATCTCTGAGGAAGAGCACATTTTGGTCATACACATGTTCTTTCCCTCTCTTTCCCAACAACTGAGAAACTACTGGCCAAGAATGAAAATTTTCAAATCTGTTTCAAATGTAACATGCAACTTTGTTTCTTTCACACCTGGACTATCTCATTCATAACATTTCTCTGTTCCTTTAATAGTTTGTACATGTCACCAAGAAGGTTTTTTGGGTCAGAAAAGAGTAAGGAAGGATACTTCAAAAGTATAACATTATAGTAATTTATCTTCTTCTTCACCCATAAAATAAGGAATATTAATATTCACTTCAAATGGTTATTATGAGGACTAAATGAAATAATGATTTTAAAGTGATTAGCACATTGCCTGACAGTCAAGGGTTCAATAACTGTTAGGTATTATCGCCATGAGAAGACAATTTATATTGACTAATTATTTGACAGAATAACCTCAGAAAAGTTAAAAATGAATGTTAAGTACTCAAATTTGTATCTTCAAAACCTGGCATGCAAACAATAAATATGATTCAAAACTATACATTCCTCTCAGGTGAGTTATAGAACTGTTATTCAGCATTAATCAGACATGTACAAGTTCATTCCAACCTCCTCCCACCTTCCTCCCAAACCTCAGGCCAGCCTCATTTCAAGAGTTTCATTTGAAATCATTCAGGCAAGTTGGGAATAAAAATGTAAATCTAAAAGGTTCTTTATAGATATAACAGCTTATTTGTGGTTCATTTTTTTTTTTTTTATGGAACTCTGTACAGGGACAAATGCAGCAAGAATCTATTTGATACGTCATTATTCAATACAAAAATTTTGATTACAATCTTTGGATTAAACAAACTTTCCTTTTTTGTGGGGGGGTTCTTTCTATTTCTACTCAAATATACAGAATTAAAGGATAAATACAATTTTTTTTTTTTTTTTTTACAAAAGAACTTATTGTACTCTATCCCAAATAATAGTAAATAGAAAATGATTCTACATATGTACTATAAAACTTTCTACAGCATAAAACTACTGTAGTTAAAACTACTTTCCAAGACTCTTTGATAACTAGGGTACAATATGACCTAGATTCAGCGAAGCAGATGTGCTACCTGAAGATTTGTAATGAAGAAATGAACAGTATGAGCTGGGTGGGGGGATAGGAACAGGATGATAGTCAAGGGGTTGTCAGTGGTGACGATCACTTTCTGAGTAGGTCAATGGCATTAGGGTTTACAGGGCCTTCAGAGGTAGAGGCAGCTTTTTCCTTAAAGCAGAGGCAGCTTTGTAGCAGGTCAGTTCTAAGGTGTGGTTCTAGGAGTTGTTTTTAGAAATTCAAAACATAGCCTCTTCCTTTAGCTCTCCCAATGTGTCTGGAAATTATCTTATTATCTTTAGTAAACCCTTTCAGCTTAAACAAGCTGATTTGGATTCTGTTGTCTGAAACTAAGAACCCTGACCAATACTCAAAAAATAAAGAACATTTCAATGAAACTCAATAAACTCATCTGTCTATATAAATTTTAAAAATATACACAACTAAAAGCAGTTTTTGAGCTCTTCATTACAGTTTTATATTTGCAAAGGTCACTGAAAGTAGACCTGAAATAATAGTATTTAACAAAAATGATATGACAACTAACTTCTGTATAAAAATTCCTTTATAGATTGGTCAATTGTCATTAATCAAGAGGTCTTTTTTAATCCTTACGGATTACTAATATCAAAACACAAAGTCTAGGAGTTAAAGCCTTTAGCCTTTAATTTCAACTGACCAAGCCACTTCTGTTACTGAAAAGCTGAATTAGAAAATCCAGGGAAAATGAATGGAAAGAATGAAATTTTGCTTTTCATCAATTAAATAAATATAGTGGGTGTCCCAAAATTATAAATCTGGGATCTAGATATCAAACTTTTAAAAACTGTAAAACCAACTTCGACAAAAAGAATTCCTCAAAACATCAAAGCACACTGTTAAACTCATTTGAATATAAAATAACTATTAAATCAAAATGAAATGATACAGTTTTTAAAAAGTCATAAAATCTTTTGTCAATCTAAACAAAATATTTAAAACAATCAGGTTGAAGAGTTAAAGTTAACACAATTATAATCTCTTTCACAGTTTCTGACAATACAGTTTTCAATAACTTCCGAAGACAAAATTAGTATTTTTAAAACTATATAATTTTTAAAGTAATATAAATATTTATATCAATACCACCTACATAAATTCACACTTTAAGTAAACACCCACATTTTAACAAATCCAGAATCTCCTAGTAAATAGTAAAGGCAAATATTATCTAGCATTAATATACATTTAGAAATTATCTGAGATTGAAAAAATTAATATATTTTAATAACCTAACATTTCTGGCTATACTGTAGGTGCTTTCACATATATTATCTCGCTAATCTCTGTAACCAGTCTTCAAGATAGAAAGAATTATTACCATTTTTCTTAAAGCAGTTGATTAGTTTGTGGTACAGATTACCTTGGTAACTTGAACAAAGTAACAAACTAGTGAGTGGCAGAACCAAATGTAAATCTGGATCCAATTTTTCTTAAGTCCATACTTTTTGTATTACATCAGGTTGATTTTTAAAGGAAAGGTAAATCATCAGTTTCCTTATTATTTTTTACACATAAATATGAAATACTATACCTAATAACATCTTATTTCTAACTCAATTAAGAGGAGTTATTGGGAATAGCACAACATGAACGTAAAGTTGAATGCTCTCAATTAATTATGATAGGTAATAATGAAGAATCAATAAAGAAAACTCATTATGTAAACATGGTTTTCTAATATGTTCTCTTCGGAACTAAACTTTTTTGAAGTCTACTGACCTATTAAAATAGATCTGTTCAGGAGACGTCAAAGGCAATAGTCTTTTTCATTTATCACAAGCTTGGTAATTAATTCATTAGCCTGCCAATCATCTGCACTGCTAGTGAAATTTATGAAAGTATAATGAAATAGCTTACCGTGCACAAGGATGTCTTTGTAATTTTCAGGGTAAAATCTGAAGAAAACTCCAAATCTGAGACAGATGCTGTGTGGCAATCTATATGCTACCCATTTAAAAAGAATAAAGGTAAGAATTTAGTAAAAATAGTAAAAACAAACCAAATAGAGATAAACATTTCTTTTCTATGCAAAAAATTTGCTGCAAACCAATGTCTTGCAAACTTTAATCATTCTCACCCCATTCTGGGGATTGTTTCTAAATTTAAGGGCTACGAAGTGCTATCATTTAGTTAGACTTTGACTAGTTAGAAATGACAATACAGCACTAAGTCAAAGTCTAAGTCTTTTACTTAGACTTCTTGTAAGAACAGTATATATCAAATTATGGCTCTGATGTGCTAAAGTTTTTCTAAGACACACTAAAGTACTTTCAAATAAAAAATGTTTTCCTGTATTCCAACTAAAATCATTTTGTATACCAAAAAACGTATAGTGGTATACATTTGCTATAAATTACATGTGATAACAGTCAATATTTTTACAGGAAATGCCAACTTGAAAACATACTAATGAAAAGGACAAAGTGTTTTAGAACTCATTTTGTAACTGCATTTGAATATGTTTGTTAGATATTAGCAAAAAAAAAAAAAAAACACAATTCCAACCAAAGGGCAAAACTACAAAGATTCAACTAAAAAAATGGCCAAATATTCTTATATTCCCAACCTGCCCTGGTTCAAATCTTTCTCCATTTCACTAAGGAAAGTAGATGCAATCAGCTACAGCAGTGTGACCGAACAGAGTACGCTATAAAGACTGTCAACACTTGACTTGCCATGAGTTGATTATGACACAGTGAACACAATTCATGACTACATGCCTGAGGCATTACTCTATTTTAAACAGTTTGAGAAATTTTAAAGGAAGTTTAAAATTTGGGGAACTGGGGAACACAGAACAAATATATCATTTTTTGAAAAAGAGTCAGGAAAAGAGTATGTATACTTTTTAAACATCTTAATTTTTCAGTCCTAAAATTTCTATTTCAACTATTTATTCACAGCAGTTTTTGGTATTTATGCAAAGAGATCACTAGAGAAATTAGGCCTCCCCTCCCCCACCACAACTCTCCTCTTTCTGCTCGGCTTTAAGGATGAGTTGGCTATAACTGTGCACTACCACCCCAAGCCAAAGAATCCAAATAAATCCCTTACTATCAGTACCAGAGCACTGAACAGTCCTATAATCACTAACCAGGCTGGCTGTATTATTTTTTCTTAAGAGCTGAATGCAATTTTAATCAGCTTGCTCTTATTGAGATACTTTATATACTTATTCTATGCTAATTTTAAAGACTTTATCTATTTAAGAAAATTAATAAACATTTAGTGAATATCTACTTTGTACAGAGAACAATTACTGACACTATGAAAGTAACAGTGAGTAAAAAGAGGAGACAATGTTTTGAATCTAACACTAAACAAGCTGTATTTATTTACCTAACTGAACCAAATTAAGTTTTTAAGAAAAGCAATATCACTTTTCACTGTAAAGTTATTATTAAACATGCAAATCTGACATAGCAAAATTCACAACAAAACTAGATTATAGTGAAGAATAAGATATTAAAACAAAAGAAATTAACTGAAAAATGTAAACACAGCAGGGCTTTAATTTCATGGACTTCATGGACACATTCAGTGTCACTACTTAATCTGAAAGGCTGGAAGAAATTCAAATGAGAAGAGCTAAATTGTGTGGAATGTATGATATGAATGAATAATTTGACTACCAATGAGAAGCTAAAGTAAAGCCAGGAGGTAGTGATGAAGCAGAAATGACAATATAGCACTAAGTCAAAGTAAAAGATTCAATCCCTAAGTATAAGAAACTTCAATACATAAAGAGAAGTGATTTCAATGGGATGATACAGTCAACTGGTAAATGTTATGACTTCAAGTTAATTTAGACTGATTAAAATGGGAAGAGTAATTACTGTTTTGAAAGCCCACATGTAAAATCAACATATTAATTTCAAATACTGAACTCATAAATGAAAAAATGGCAATATTATTTTAAAGCAAATAAAATTGGTAAAACACATACCTTAATACTATCAGAGTCTGAAATAAGAGTCTTCGGATCTAAAACTTCCACAATAGCTTCTGGAATAACTGCCTTCTTCATGCAGGACATATTAAAGCCATAGACATCATCCCAAAAAGCAATTCTATCAGCATGTTTATTCACATCACTTACTGCCACAAGGCTGATTGTGCAAATATCAGGGTAGACTGTAAGAAATAAAATACTCGACAATTTAGCATTATCTCACTTTATGGCAAAATACAATTTTTTAAAGGCTAAATATAAAATATCAACTCCATCAATATGGATTACTAGCAACTGATTACTAGCAGTGGGGGATTAACAAAGGTATAAATCAAAGAAAATAACCAAGTTCCATCTTGTAACCTCTTTATAAAAAATATTTCCATTATTGTGGTGGTAAGATTGAAATAAAGATTTCACTGATGAGATCCTATTAAAATAATTAAAAAAGAATAAAACAAATAATCCTGAAATGAACATATTTATTAATATTAAACTTATAATATGCTGGCTTTAAAAAGGTAATAGATCTTTTCTTTATATATTCTTCTGAAACATGCAGGAAGAGACAAATCATTTAAAAAGATATGTGACATATAAAAACAATCATGTCAAGGTAACAAAAAATAATACTACAAAAACCAAAGACAACTGGTATCCAAAGACCCAGAAATGATATATGTACTTGGTTTAATCCTGTTACACAGCAAAATTCCCCAATGATGAAGGAAAAACTTATATAATTCAGATTAGAGGTCACTAAAACTCAAATTGGCATCACCACCCCTCCTCACTTCCTCCAAAATTACTGTCTCCAGAAAGGCTTTCTCTTGGCCTGGATTTAGGCTTCTTTTCCCTATTGAGAATAACAATTCATATAGCTACTCAGAGGTTAACAGTAAGGCGCCTTAAAAAAATAAAACAATAAAGTAAAAAAAAAAAAAAAAATCACGTGATGGAATTTTATAGTTGTGCAGAAGACCAATTCATATAACCCTCTCTTATCTATTATAAAAAGGAAATATTTTTGAGAATCAGGTATGTGCCAGGTAAGTTATTCTAATTTATAGACTATGGACATGTCTCTACTGTCAAGAAACTTAGACAGTTTTGACAAATAGATGGGCAATTATTTGTGAGGAGAAATGTAAGACACTGAGGGAGCTCACAGCAAAAAGAGTAATATAGATTTGGCTACAGCAAGAGAACAGGGGTATTATGTAAGATAAGAATTGGAGGCCAAGTAAGTTAGGAATGGGGAGACAAAGAGAATTCTAGGCAGAGCAAGCAGCATGTATATAGGGTCACAATTAATATATGCTCCAATTTGAGAGAAACAGTGAGATATAGGGTATAAAGGTAAGTAGGGACCAAAGAAAACATGGCTGAGTAAACCACATAGTAAATTAGACTTTATTCTAAAAATAATAATAAGCAATGAAAAATTTTATAGAGGGTAGCAACTTCATCAGATTTTGTTTTTAGAAAAGTCATCTGGAGTGTAATGTGGAGAATGAATGATAGAGTGTTAGACTATAACAAAGACAAAATAAGAGATAGTTGTAATCAACCAGGTGACCTGAAGTAGAGTGATGGCTGTGGGAATGGAAAGGAGGAGATATACTCCTTTCAATTATGTCAAGGTAACAAAAAATTGTTACTCAAGGGCTACCTAGGAGGTAGAACACATAGGACTGTAAGATTGGCTGGCTGTGGAGGTGTGGAAGAGGGATGAGTCTAGGATGACATTTTTTAGCTTTAGCAGTTGGGCAAATTATGGTACTAGCCATTATAATAGGGAGTAAAATAAGGGCAGATTCAAGAGGAATATGAGAGTTTAATGCTTATGAGAGAAATGGGTAAAAAATATCCAATAAGCAGTTGAATATATAGGCCTGACTCAAAAGAGATGATCTTGGTTCAAGACACATATTTGGGACCATGAACAAATAAATGTAAGTTATGGGAGCTCATGAGGTCACATAGGGAGAGTACAAGGTGAGTACCAGAATTTATGGGATGTGCAGAAAAAAAGGTTGAGAAGAAATGGCTGAGAAGTTGGGGCCACAGAATTAAGAAGTAAGAAGAAAACTCAGAGAGTAAGTATTGAGAGAGGTGAGGGAAGAGACTGATTCAGAAAGAAACCCTCTTCTAATAACACGTATACATCTTTGTAACTAAATTTTTAAAATAATATTTATCACCTCCACTGATAACTTCAAATATCAACATTTACCATGAATTAAAAAATAGAAACCACATTTTCCAGTATTAACAAACTTAAAGCAAGTATATATGTACCAATGAAATGCACAAAAGAAATAATTTCATGATTATTGACCAGCCTTCAGACTTAAGCAGTAGAGAAACCTCTTTTTCCCCAAACTTTTGTTTCTATTCACAGCCTTGAGAATTTTACTATTCAATGACAGCAGCACTAAATTATCTTCCAAATAAAGCCCATGATAAGATCTGCTGGTATCAAAGCACTTGCTTCTTCCAAACCTGACATGTGAGATACCCAAAAAAATACTTGGTGCTATGCCACTGATAAGAAGTTTCTCAAGTCCTCCCTAAGAGGGCATGCAAGGCAGATGTGACAGCGCCACAGGGCTAGCGTAGACTGTCGTGTAAACTTAGACACCTCAACTCTCCTCGTCCTCCACAAACACGGTAAACCTCTTGACTGTGCTTAAATTCCTGATCAACAGAAATTCTTCAAAGTAACTGATCTGTTATTGAAAATGCTGACCCAGCAAGAATATCAGCTACAGAAAAAGCATTTTTAGTTTCTTGAACCAGATCATTAAGATGAGAAACAATGAAGAAGAAACAGAATTCTGAAGCAACTTAAGATATTTGGCAATTTCTTTATGTATCTTCTGTTGGAATTGATATGATAATCACAGAAACTTTCCTATATTATGCCCTGTAATTTCATCATTAAAGAGGAACATAATAAGGGTATAGATCAGGCGTTGGCGAACATTTTCTGCAATTATTTTAGGTTTTGTGGGCCATATGGTGTTTGTTGAAACTACTCATCTCTGCGGCTAGTGTGAAAGTAGCCACGCATAATATACACATAAATGAACCTGGCTATGTGCCAATAAAACTTACCTACAAATATAGGCAGCAGGCCAGATTTAGATACCCCTGATATTGAGGAGAGAGAAATGGATGAGGAAGGTTTTATCAGGGACATCATACCATACTACTTCAGAGAGTGCCATTCACACTGCAGTCCACAGGAATCAAATATCCTCTGGAGTTGAGCAGTGCAAAGACATTCAAGTTACTTAACAGTTCACAGAGTTCTTTTTTAGAATATTATTCAAAATCTTAGTGAAAATTTGAAAATATCAGTCTCTTTATCAGAGGCTGGCAAACTGGCCCATGAGTCAAATTCGGCCCACTGTCTGTTTTTGTAAATAAAGTTTAATTAGAACACTGGCACACTCATTTATTTACCTATCATCTATGGCTGTGCTGTGTTACTGTGGCAAAGCTGAGTAGTTGGGGCAGAGACTGTGTAGACTACAAAGCTGAAAATATTTACTACCTGCCCTTTGGTAGAAGTTTGCTGACCTCTGGTTCTATACCTATCAAGCAATAGATGTACTAACAATACTACTAAGAATTAAGGGCAAAGCTTTTCATAAGGAATAACTAAAACTTATTAAAACTATTTTTTAACAGTTTTGAAAATATGTTGGTAATAAGAACAAAAACTAGAGAGGAATATGATTTTACTTTTTCCAGTGCTGAGGTATATTTTTAAAGCCAATTACATTTCACAAAGACATAGAAAATCATAGCTTCTGTACTTGTTAGACTTAGAAATGAAATTATTTATCTTTCAGTTAGTAAGATCTCTGAATATTCATAAAGAACTTGTAATCAGTGTTATACATCAATTTGGTTCTATATCCACCTCCTCACAGCTGGCTAAAATTTTGGGCCACCTGCCAGAATCCTGACTAACCCTTTACCCTCACATTCTGACACATTTGTCATTTGATTTTTTGTCAGATAAAGGCATAATTGAATAATTATTTCTTCTTGTAGATGAAATTAACAAAGCACTGATTGGACAAAACCATCCTCTTAACAGACCATTTATAAATTCATGGCTTTGACATCTGTGTCCTTCTCGATTCACTGCCCAGAATTCATTTGTCACTAGAACAGCTCACATGGTGAATAGATAAAGATGGGAAATCCTTTATCCCTTAAAAATGCCTCACAAACTTTTGGACACTAAAGGATAAGAATGAGATGCATAAAGAAACAATTCCCAGTAACATTAGCATCATTGTCTGTGTATAAATAACCAAAGAATAAAAAGGTTTCGAACAAAAGGAAATAATAAGTCAAAATAAATGTTCTTCTCACAATATATGTGAACAATACGAAGATTTTAGTGAAATGGTCAATGATGAAATGATTGATAGGCACAAAAGAAAAATGCACTACTAAGTCTCTAAATCAACAAATATTTTGGGAGTTGAATAAGCTTAAAAACTAATTTCCAATTTACATAATAAAGGTATCTTTAAAAAATTAATACTTATTTGGAAATTGGAAACATTTTCCCATCATTAACTTATAGTAGCAACTAGGCCCACCTAAGCTTAATTAGGCTAAAATATAGCTGCAATATGTACTGAAAAATCATGTACAGAAAAAAAGTAAAAAATGATACTACTGCAATAACATCGAACAAAGCCAAAATAATAAATGTGAAAGAAAGCAGATTTTAAGTAGAGGAAGTAGAGAGAGAATTATGGAAACACTAAAGTAAACCTCTAAGCATGATGAACCAGTGTCGCTGGCTGATTACACTGAGATAAACTAGTAAAAATTAAGTGCTATATGCCATGATGCTTGAATTCATTTCAAAACTTTTATAAGGTATAATCATATTCACCAGCTGTAAGGAGGGAAATTAACATTTAATGAGTAGCTACTTTACATCAAGCATCTCATTTAGACTTTGATTAGACTGACTGATTCTATAAAGCTGGATTATATTCCTCATTTTACAGATAAGAAAACTGAAGTTCATAAAGTAACTTCCCCAAATTACTGGTCTTAGTCAGCTAAGTAAATAACTAGTCATCTGACAATGTAGGGATTCAGCTTAAGGTCTAACTGCAAAATCTATATACTTTCTATTATG